AACGACTGAGCCACCCAGGTGCCCCTTCTTATGACATTTGTAAGGCAGAATTAGAACAGAGTTCTTGATGTCTACTCACTAGCTTTGAGATTTTAAGAAGTAGGGCATGTGGAATCCATCTTGATGATGTTATCATGGGAGGCGCATATGGTTCTGGAGCTAACTACAGATATTAACAACCTTTGATTGCAATTTCCTGATTTTGATGATTACTTGATTTTGGCAGCTTTTTATATTGTTGGCTTCCTAATTGTGCCAATAGTGATACGATTATGGAGTCAGTGGCTTTCTGGTTATAGAAGGAGGAGCAACTCTCTTGGTGGCCTGAGTAGTGCTTTGGAAAGCTTCATGGATCCAAGGGAACAAATGTTGGGAGTCTAGCGCCCATCAAGAGTAAGAGTTCTGTTCTTAATGCTTGGGATCCTAAAGGGCTGTGCCATAGGAATAAGGGTGCATTGGAGGTAAACCAGTCCTCAAATGAACTGCCACCTGATTTCAGGTCATCTGTATGAACAAAACATCTTGGTCCTTGAAATATTCTTGAAGAGATTCTAGGTTTATATAGCCCTAGGTAAATGAAAATCACTCAGGAGGAAGATACTATCCTAAGCCTCAAATTCTCAGTATAGATGGAACTGTACTAAGGATGGAAAACACAGAAGAGAAAGAAAGTAGATACCATGGGAAGGTTCAACCCACATCCAATTGGAGTCTCAGGGGAGTGGAAGAAGGGAAAAGGGAAGAAGGAATATATGAAGACATAGTGGCTGAGAGTTTTTCAAAATTGATGAGAATTTTGTTTTGTCAGTGTGACTGTCTCTTGGTTATGTAATCTGTATTTTCTCAATGGTTTTGTCTTTTTTAAGGTTTTTCTTTTTATCTTGTTGGGTTTCCTCATACTGTAGGTTCATATTATTCCATCAAATCTGGAATAGCCATAGCCATTAACCCCTGAAAATACCTCTTTCCCATTCTCTCCATTCTCTTCTTCCCAAGTCTCATTAGATGTATGCCAGATGCTCCCATTCTCAACTCCATGTTTCTAAATCTTCCTCTCTCAGCTGCAGAATAAAGCTCTCCCCTGAATTCTGTTTTCTTCAAACCTAGCCTTTAGATTCATGGTCTCTCCAGCTATGTTCAGTCTGCTGGTTAACCTATTATTTCATTGAGCATACTTTTTATTTCTAGAAGTTCTGTTTCAAGTCAACTGGTCTTTTAATAGTATTTAATATGTTGTTTGTTTTTATTTAGTGGTCTTAATTTCTTATCTCATGCTTTTAATCATTTTAAATATTCACATCCAATGTCTGTAGTTCTTGTGTCTAATCCAGCTATATTGAATTGACTTTACTTCACTCATGGTTAATTGATTCTTGATGTGTTTTAAAATATTAGATTGTCAGGGCACCTGAGTGGCTCAGTCGGTTGAGCATCTGATTCTTGATCGGAGCTCAGGTCTTGAACTCTGGGTTGTGAGTTCAAGCCGTGTGCTGGGCTCCACGATAGGCATGGAGCCTACTTTAAATGGATGGATAGATAGATAGATAGATAGATAGAAAGATAGGAAATTTTATATTGTCAGCTTATGTTTGGCAGGGCTTTGTTTGTGGGAAATCTTTGCTAGTAAAGTCAAACATAATATATCTCTAAAAGAACAACAGAGGTTTCCCGCAGACATTGACCTGCCAACCACAAGCTCACCCAGTCCTGTAGTTGTGAATTCTCAGAAGAGAGTGTCATCTCCTTTTCCTTGTCTTCTTCCTTTTCCTCTTCTTTAACCACCAGATAGCCAAGAGAGAGAATTTGCCTGTCATTACCTTTTGCTTCTGTATTGTCTCCACATGCCACTGAACAGATTTTTATCCCCCTTGTCACTGTCTTTGAACTATTTTTTTTTTTATCAATTCTGTTGAGGCATTTTTTTAAGATTTTTATTTGAGAGAGTGAGAGTAAGAGAGCACAAGCAGGGGGAGCGGCAGAGGGACAGGGAGAAGCAGGCCCTTGCTAAGCAGGAAGCCCGAAAACTGGGGCTTGATCCCAGGACCCTGGGATCATGACCTGAGCTGAAGGCAGACACTTAACCAACTGAGCCACCCAGGCGCCCCTGAGGTATTATTTACATACAGTAAATACAATTTGATGGGTGACTACAGCCACAATCACAACAGAGCATTTCCATGACCCAGAGACATTCTCTCAGGCCACTTTGCAGTCAACCTCTTCTCCCAACCCCCTGATCTGTTTTCTATTACTAGAATTTGGCCTTTTCTAAAACTTGATATAAATGTAACCATACAGAATATTTTTATGTCTGGTCTTTTTTCACTTAACATAAAGCTTTTATGATTCATCCATGTTCTTTTTTTTTTTTTTTAAGATTTTATTTATTTATTCATGAGAGACACATAGAGAGAGAGAGAGAGGCAGAGGGAGAAGCAGGCTCCCAAGGAGCAGGGAGCCCAATGAGGGACTTGATCCCAGGACTCTGGGATCATGACCTGAGCCGAAGGCAGACGCTTAACCATCTGAGCCACTCAGGCGCCCCATCCATGTTCTTGCATATATCGTTAGTTTGTTCGTGTTTATTGTTCCAATATATGGCTATACCATGATTTTTCCATTCACTTGTTGATGGACATTGGGTTGTTTTCAGTTTGGGGCTATTATGAATAAAGTTATTAGAGAATTCTTATATAAGTCTTTGTGAAGATGTATGTTTTCATTTCTCTTGGATAATACCTAGGGATGTAATGGCTAGGTCATATGTTTGTATGTTTAACTTAAGAAACTGCCAAAATGTTTTCCGACCTGGCTGTACCATTTTGCTTTACCACCAGCAACAGCATTCTGTTGGCTTCATATCCTCACCAACTCTTGGTATTATCAGTCTTAATTTTAGCCATTCTAGTAGATATGTATTAGTATCTCTTGATTACAATTTGTGTTTCACAAATGGCTAGCAATTTTGAGCATTTTTTCATGTACTTCTTTGTCATCCATGTATCTTCTTTGATAAATTATCTGTCCATTTCTTTTGTAAATTTTTAATTGAGTTGTCTTTACTAATGATTCATAAAAGATCTTTTTATGTTTTGGACATGTCTTCTGTTGGATATGTTTTGTATTTATTTTCTCCCAATCTGTAGCTTGAAATCCAGTTTATACACTTTTGAATAAATGTGCTGTTGTGTGACATTAGAAGTATTTACCTAATTTAAATATTGAGTCTTTCAAACCATGAAAATGGATTATCTTTTGTTTTTTAATTTCTTAGTAATATCTTGTAGTTTTCAGTGTATACATCTTATACATTATTTGCCAGATGTATTCCTATTCAGTAGTTTTTTGATGCTGTTGTAAATGGTATTATTTAAAATTGCAAATTCTAATTGCTGGTTTATATATAAAGACAGATGATTTCTGGGGTGCCTGGGTGGCTCAGTCGGTTAAGCGACTGCCTTCCGCTCAGGTCATGATCCTGGAGTTCCGGGATCAAGTCCCGCGTCAGGCTCCCTGCTCAGCAGGGAGTCTGCTTCTCCCTCTGACCCTCCCCCCTCTCATGTACTCTCTCTCTCTCAAGTAAATAAAATCTTTAAAAAAAAAAAAGATTTCTTTTTATTACTGTTATATCCTGAAACCTAGTTAAATTCACTTTTAGTTCATGTACCTTTTTTTAAATATTCTTTAGCTTTGCCTACAATAGACAATTATGTCATCTGTGAATAAAGACAACTTCTTCATTTCTAGTCTTTATACCTTTTATTTCTTTTTTCTTGTCTGCATACAGTAGAGGCTAGAACCTCTAGTACAATGTTTGAGTAGAAGTGATGAAACCTATACTGTTGCTTTTAGGGAAACTTCCCCTATAGGCTATTTTTTTCCTATCCTTGCAAGATTCATTGTCTTAAATCATATTTGAAGTGTTCAGATGGGTTGGAATAAACAGTATTTACCAGTTGACTACTATACTACTACTATACTATAAGCTAGGATTTGTATTTTAGACTAAAGAATGTTGTAGCAAAGAGTGAACTTGTCCTCTGTGACCAGTATTTATTGCTGTAATAAATCTGAGTGGAGATAATTTGAAATTGACATGCTAACATAGTGTTGCAGGATGAGTTATAAGGTAGAAGTTAGCTTCAAATAATAAAAGGAGACCTTCATAAGAAAACAGGCAAGCCTACCATCACACACTCACTCTGTCATCTATTCATAATTTAACAGGAAGTTGCATTTTCTAGTAATGCTGTTCATTAGTACTAGATGACTTCAAGAAAAAGGGGCAATTTTTGATTTGAAGTACCATCTTTTGACATCATAGTTCAATTTGTGAGTTTAACTATATTGACTAGCTGTTGTTTAGGGCCTTCTCTTGTATATGGAAAAAAATACCTTGAATCAAAGCAATTAGATCGATAAAAGGAAACTTTTCTGAGAGAATTTTCCAGCCTACTAAATGAAATTCATGTGTGTTCAGAATTATCTATTTTGTAAATTGCTACATATCTAGTGACTCGGGTGCCCACTTCCTAATATTTTGTCAACATATAAATAAGAGAAAGTAAAAAGAAAGTAGTATTGAAGAATAAATTTTGGGAAAGGGGGAAAACTTATAAAGCCTGTGTTTAAGCCTGAAACTTGCATATGGCATGTGTTACATGAATTTTGCAAGCAGATAAGTCAAATGAGGCAGTTACTCAGTAGTAATTTGAGGAATTATACTAACTGCTGAAACAAGTAGGCTTATTTGAAATAGAAAGGCTATATGTATTGAACAGGATTTATGTCAGTTATGGTTCTTTAAATGGTGTGGAGCTGTTTTCCTTTAAGCTACTATGGGCAATACCATGGCTCTAAGACTTTTTCTGATAATGTCCTTAGAAGATCATCTCTATTGGAAAAGTAATATTGGGAAACAATTCAGTTACTTGAGAGCTGGCTATAAAGGGTGGAAGTGCTTTATTACTGACATGGTATTTTAATTTTATATCCTTCAGATATTTGGATTTGAACTGCATTTTGGAAATCATCTACACTTAAAATGCCACCAGCAGTTGGAGGTCCAGTTGGATACACTCCCCCGGATGGAGGCTGGGGGTGGGCAGTAGTAGTTGGAGCTTTCATTTCCATCGGCTTCTCTTATGCATTTCCCAAATCCATTACTGTGTTCTTCAAAGAAATTGAAGGCATATTCAATGCCACCACCAGTGAAGTGTCATGGATATCCTCAATCATGTTGGCTGTCATGTATGGTGGAGGTAAGTACCCCCAAAGGCCTGCTGTTTTAGTCACATTTTTTCATTCCCATTAACCATGACCACTCTTGATCTGTTTGTTCCACTGTAGTATTCTGAACAGAAATGAGAAACTGTGAGGTCCTGTGATTTGGTCCAACTCCGTATCATTAAAAAGCTCTCAGAAAAATGACATGTGCACAGCTGATTTTTCTTACTGCTCTCTGCTAGACTCTTAAGATATAAACACAAAGACTCCTTCCTTTTTTTTTTTAATTTTATTTATTTATTGGTCAGAGAGAGCACGCATAAGCAGGGGGAGCAGCAGGCTCCCCCCTGAGCAAGGAGCCTGATGCGGGACTCAATCCCAGTACTCTGGGATCATGATCTTGGCCGAAGGCAGATGCTTAACCAACTGAGCCACCCAGGCATCCCACAAATAAAGACTTTTCTTAAATTGATATTGGGAGAATTAAAGTAAATCAGGCTCACCTGAATAGCATAGTTCAAAGTCTCAGGTAAAATCTTTGCATGGTGTTAGAATTAACTGAAAAAAATCTTCCTCTTCTTCCTTGTGATGTTATTCACCCTAAAAGCATTTCAGCTGAATCTTAAACTTAAGTTTCATCATTTTTTCCCTGCTGTTTTCCTTGACATGTTTAAAGGAAATACGGAGAGTAAGTTGCTTACTTAACATTATTTAAAATACTGTTCATTGGTACAGCCACTTTGGAAAACAGTATGGAGTTTCCTCAAAAAGTTAAAAATAGAGCTACCCTATGACCCAGCAATTGCAGTACTGGGTATTTACCCCAAAGATACAGATGTAGTGAAAAAGAAGGGGCACATGCGCCCCAATGTTCATAGCAGCAATGTCCACAATAGCCAAATTGGGGAAGGAGCCGAGATGCCCTTCGATGGATGAATGGATAAAGAAGATGTGGTTCATATATATAATGGAATATTACTCAGCCATCAGAAAGCATGAATACCCACCATTTGCATCAACATGGTTGGAACTGGAGAGGATTATGCTAAATGAAATAAGTCAAGCAGAGAAAGACAATTATATGGTTTCACTCATATGTAAAACATAAGGAATAGCATGGAGGACATTAGGGTAAGGAAGGAAAAACTGAAGCAGGGTGGCGGGGGGCAGTCAGAGTGGGAGACGAACCATGAGAGACTGTGGACTCTGGGAAACAATCTGAGGGTTTCAGAGGGGAGGGGGGTGGAAAGATGGGTTAGCCCAGTGATAGGTATTAAGGAGGGCATGTGTTGTAATGCACACTGGGTGTTATACGCAAATAGTGAATCATGGAACACCACATCAGAAACTAATGATGTACTGTATGGTGACTAACATAAAAATAAATAAAATAAAAATTTGTAAAATAAGTAAATAAAATACTATTCATTTCACCTTGGAACATCAAATCACAATGTAACATGTAAAAGTCAAAACCTTCCATAATACTTAAAATATATAGTTGCTTAGTGAGAGATTCTAAAGCCAAGTGTATTTATTTACTGAGATTGACAGTGCCTCATGCTGCTTAGTTAGCCAAACTTTCACCTCTGTTAATACTACTTTTTGGTGGCAGTTTAGTATCTCATTATTTTCACATGTAGCTCTTTAATAGCCAGTATAAAGATTCTATATTTCAACTGTAAAACCTTAGAATTTGAATTCTTGGGATTCCAGTAAGCTGTTGGCAGAGTCAACCAATATTAAGCCCTATGCACATATTTCACACTAGATTAGATATTGTGAGTGATAGAGAACACTTGATCCTGATACCTGCCTTTGGGGAGCTTATAATCCTATTGAAACAATAACATAAACTCATGAAACAAGAATAAATAGTTGAAGTCATAATTTAACCAAATATATAATTTCATTGCACAGAAAAAACAGGTAACCTGGTTGCCTTAGGGAGAGGTGAATTAGGTGACTGGGAAGACTTACGTTTTTCCACTGTATATCTTTTTATTTTATGCCTTTTGAATTTTGATGGTATGCCTGTTTTGTTTATTAAGTACTTTTAGAGAATATAAGTGCTAAATTGTAGTACTTATTTTCTTTTTATAAGTTCAGAGAAATCAAAAGGGACCTTGGATATTATCTAGTTTCTGAGAGCCAATAGTTTTGGAAGCTTTGAACTCTATCTGCCAGGATTTTCTAATCAGGTTTTGACTATGATGGCTTGAAGAAATTGGTGTAAATATTATCCAGACGTACTCCAGGTGCTCAGGGTATCTTTAAGCTGACTATAAACCAGGGTTTCACATGTTACAATTTGGAGCTGCCAAAGAGCTTGAGAGCCACTTGCATTTTGCATCAAAAGTAAGTGATGTCGGGGCGCCTGGGTGGCTCAGTCGTTAAGCGTCTGCCTTCGGCTCAGGTCATGATCCCAGGGTCCTGGGATCGAGCCCCGCATCGGGCTCCCTGCTCCGCGGGAAGCCTGCTTCTCCCTCCCCCACTCCCCCTGCTTGTGTTCCTTCTCTGGCTGTGTCTCTTTCTGTCAAATAAATAAAAATCTTTAAAAAAAAAAAAAAAGTGATGTCAGTTGTACTAATGGCACATGACACTTTCTTCTGGGAAAACAGTTCCTTCTTTGTCCTCACCCAGAGATAACTAGCACATTTCTCTGAATTTGTGTTATAATAGGCCTATGAACTGTACCCCTCTCTATTTTTAATGATAGCTAATTGGGGCCATCCTTCCTGAAATAACTCTGAAAGACAAATTGCCTTATCGAGAGCCTTGTGGCAGAATTTTTACTAAATGGGTTATTTTGTTTTGATTGGCTGCTAAATGGTATATCCCCTAAGAATTATCATCAGTTTTCAACTGCCACAATTCTTTAACTTAATGTATTTGGGCCACACCCTCAACACTAATATGTTTTGAACTACCAGTGGTTTAGTATTTTTTTTTTTTTTTTTAGTACTTTGGTTCAGGGATACGTACTGATGCTTGTTGGAGTGTAAGTATATTTTTAGGGGAGGCGATTTTAGTTGCCTACTCTCTTTTTTTATTTGAGTTTTTCCTAGTTTTTTTTTTAACAGGAAAGTAATTTGCATATTTTCAGTTTCACACTAATGTCTTTAACATTCCTAGTTTAATATTGCAGATGTTACAGTATTAACTTCAACTTCACAAGTCGATAGTGTGGCAATATTTTGATCTTTGTAATTCTGACTATACAAGATCTATTTCATGACCAATTTATATGAAAATATTTCATGAATATTCTTTCAGTATTTAATTCTTTCACCTTACACAAGCTGTAAATTCAAATTATTTCCAAACCAGCTGTGGTCTAGTATTTTCCTGAAGTGACTTAGAAAGTCAATGAAAACTTTTTTATACATATCCTTGGTTGGGCCTGAAATCTCTCCTGGCAGCCAGTTCTTGACCCAGCCTTAAAGAGACTTAGTCCTCTGAAACACTAGGATATCAAGAGGTTTGAATTTGGGGCACCTCGGTGGCTCAGTCTGTTAGGCATCTGCCTTCAGCTCAGGTCGTGATCCTGGGGTCCTGGGATCAAGCCCCGAGTCTGGCTCCCTGCTCAGTGGGGAGCCTGCTTCTCCCTCTCCCACTCCCACTGCCACTCCCCCTGCTTGTGCTCTCGCTTTCTCTCTCTCTCAAATAAAATCTTTAAAAAGGAGAAAAGGTTTGATTCCTTCCTGCATGCTTACATACACTATAATTTAAATTTGGGTTCCCTGGGGTCAGAGCTGACCTTTTTATTGAATCATACTGCAGCTTTGAGTATAGTACTAGAATATAAGTAACTGCAGAATTTCCCATAGTGTTTATGGAAATAGAATATGTCAACATATAACCAATAATATATTCTGAATACGTACATTCTATATTTGTTTTAAAAAATAGACTTACTGTCTTCTAAGGAACTAATTATAGAATGAACAGAATAAGGTCAGAATTTACTGTGCTAATAGAAGAAAAACACAATTTTTATGTCTTCTGCTTAATAGCTTAGTTCAAAAAATATGGAGTACAGTGTAATAAGGAGAAAATGGGCTGGATTTGAAACTTGGTTCTTGGTAGCTTTGTGACTTTGCAAAGTTCAAACATCAGTTCATTTCCTTGTGTGCCCTTCCCTACTGATGCATTGCAGTGATCCTCTCTGTTTGCAGTCCTCTACCTTAACCAGGCAGGTAAGGTATGGTGTCATGTAAACAAAGTTGTCATTCCCCCAAGTCCATATCCATGAAGTACAGACAGAGGCATATTCTTTTATAAAGAAATGAAATGCAATGAAGGTCAGTCAGTGTAATCAGAAAATAATGTTAGTCTACTTAAGAGTTGTGTTACAGCTTTTATTTTTTTTAAAGATATTTGAGAGAGAGAGAGAGCCTGTGCGCAAGCATGGGGGGAGGGGCAGGGGGAGAGAATCTGCAAGCTGACTCCCTGGTGAGTGTGGAGCCCCATGCAGGGCTTAATTTCACCACCCCAGATCATGACCCCAGCCGATACCAAGAGCTGGAGGCTCAACTGACTGAGCCATCCGGGCACCCCATGTTACAGCTTTTAAAACATTGTTTGGTTTGAATAGGACTTTATTATAATTAACAGTTAAAAATATGGAAAGGGGAGTGCCTGCGTGGCTCAGTTGTTAAGCGTCTGCCTTTGGCTCCTGGGATGGAGCCCTACATCAGGCTCCCTGCTCCGCGGGAAGTCTGCTTCTCCCTCTCCCACTCCGCCTGCTTGTGTTCCCTCTTTCGCTGTGTCTCTGCCAAACAAATAAATAAAATCTTTAAAAATAAAAACTTGGAAAGGGGAATTACAGATTATACCTATTTATAGCAAGTAAGGAGAGCCCATTTGATACTCATATTTGAAAACATACATTAAATGCATCAAATCTTTTTCTTCTTGATCCTTATAATACTTCACATTTTATTTGGTTCCTTTCACATTGAAGAAAAACTGATAATTTTGGTATGCGTCCCTTTATCAGAGGAAATTTAATCTGATTATCTTAGATAACACTATTTCCTATCTTCTTGAATTGTTAGATCCAAGATATTTTAACCATTATTTGATTTAATCTCCTGCAAGCTTAGTTTCACTGTATTGCTACCATGAAACAGTAATTTAGGCATGGAATCAGGTTAACTCTAAAGAAATATTCAATTCAGTACCTGAGACATCTAGGTATAACTGGGAACAGTTTTTTGTTTTCAATTTATATTTCTTTTTTTTTAAGATTTTATTTATTTATTTGGCAGAGAGAGACACAGCAAGAGAGGGAACACAAGCAGGGGGAGTGGGAGAGGGAGAAGCAGGCTTCCCACGGAGCAGGGAACCCGATGCGGGGCTCGATCCTAGGACTCTGGGATCATGACCTGAGCCGAAGGCAGACGCTTAACGACTGAGCCACCCAGGTGCCCTCAATTTAGATTTCCTAATTGCAGAGCTACTTAAACTTGGAAAAAATAATTACGTATTTTTCAGGGATTTTTTCTTTTTAAAAAATATGACACAGACTACATTTATGATAATGTGTAAATAATGCTCTAATATCATCATATTAGAGTGCCTGTCCAAAAATTAAAACAGCAAACTTACTAAATATGTTTATCATATCCTAGATACATCAGCAAGCCTATCAACATCCATTACCAAGGTGTTTTCAGCCAGTTCTGCCTTATAAGAGGAAGATCAAGGAGAGAACCAGAGTCTTATATTTTAGTAAAATTCCATCCAATATTTATAGATAAAGAAGATATACAGTGATGTTTTTTAGCATCTTTATTTTCTAATACACCTTTGACTATGAAATAAATGTAGAAAGCAATATTCTTCCCATTGTCTTTGTTTTTATCTGTTTATTTTAAAGGACTTGTCATTTAGCATCAATGCCTTGTGTAGATAGGAGGGAGTTGGTTCCTTTCCTCTGTGTTAACTAAATTTCTGGTTTTCTCCTAGGTCCTATCAGCAGTATCCTGGTGAATAAATATGGCAGTCGTCCAGTCATGATTGTTGGTGGCTGCTTATCAGGCTGTGGCTTGGTTGCGGCTTCTTTCTGTAATACTGTTCAGGAACTTTACTTGTGTGTTGGAGTCATTGGAGGTGAGTTACTGTTGATTCATTTTCAAGCATTAATTTATTGCTGGCTGTTTGGTATTCATTTAACATTCATCTTTCAGATCTTTTGAGTGAAATTCCTACCTTATAGAAATTACTTGATTATCATTTTGAAGAGCTATAAATACATTAAAGGGTTCTAGAAAAGCAAACTTCTAAGGAAATTCCTGTTATACAGAGGGTGTTCACTGCTGAATGAATGAATAATGAAAGAGATGATTGCATCCCTTGTCCTAAGAATAGTCAGTGGTGGTAGATAAAATGTGTTTGGCAATTTCTTGCAAGGGTGATCATTGGTTATTACTCTTCCTCATTACCTCTTCTTCCCACGGGGGATAGGCTTCTACTGGAGCAGGAGAGAGTATAAAATATAAAGCAGGAATTATCTGGCAGAATGTCCAAATACATTTCTGAGGGATAGAAGACCCACTTAATAATTCCTTCCTCCTCTTTTGATAGCCAAATTAAAGTAATGAACTGCTGATGAGTATAATAAAGATTACTCATGGGCGCCTGGGTGGCTCAGTTGGTTAAACGACTGCCTTCGGCTCAGGTCATGATCCTGGAGTCCCGGGATTGAGTCCCACATCGGGCTCCCTGCTCAGCGGGGAGTCTGCTTCTCCCTCTGACCCTCTTCCCTCTCGTGCTCTCTATCTCTCATTCTCTCTCTCTCAAATAAATAAATAAAATCTTAAAAAAAAAAAGATTACTCATAACTTCACAATCCAGAGAATCTATTAACATTTTGATGTATATCTTTCCATACTTTTTCCTGTGCACAAAGATAAAACCTTTTTTAATACAAAAAATAATCAGATATGTTTTGTAACCAGTTTTTCACTTAACAGGATACCATGAACATCTTTCCATGTCATTAAATATTACAAGATTTTTAATCTGTTACTCCATTGAATAGATATGTACAATAATTTTTTTAGTAAGCTCTATGACACATGTGGGGCTTGAACTCACAACCCCGAGATCAGGAGTCTTATGCTCTAATGACTGAGCCAGCCATGCACCCCGATATGTACCATAATTTTATTTGACCAGTCTCTTAGTTAATTGTTCAGTATTTAGGGTTTTGTTTTTGATTTTTTTACATTTTCTTACTATTAGTAAACAGTATTGTGTTGATAATCCTTTGTGAACATGAATATTTTCTTAGGATAGCTTCGTAAAAGTGGAACTGCTGTGTGTTTTAAAGATACATATGAGGGGCGCCTGGGTGGCTCAGTTGGTTAAGTGACTGCCTTTGGCTCAGGTCATGATCCTGGAGTCCTGGGATCGAGTCCGGCATCAGGCTCCCTGCTCAGCAGGGAGTCTGCTTCTCCCTCTGACCCTCCCCCATCTCATGTGCTCTCTCTCTCTCTCTCTCATTCTCTCTCTTTCAAATAAATAAATAAATAAATCTTTAAAAAAATAAATAAATAAAGATACATATGAGCTAAATTGCCAAAAAGATCATGCTCACCATAATGTGAGAGGGCATACAGCCTTGACAACAATGGGATATTATCCTTTTTAATTATTGCCAGGTGAATCATTTAACAGGTGAACAGTATTTCCTGATTTTAATTTAAATCTCTTTATTAGGAAAGTAAATGTTTTTAATATGTTTGTGGCTATGTATTTGGGGTTTTTTGTTTATTGTCTTTGTACAAAATGCTTATTGACTGCTTTTGTGTACCTATTTAAAAATAATGTGTAATAACTTTACAGGTTAAATTATTATCTCTTTGCATAAGACAGTTATTTTGGGGTGCCTGGGTGGCTCAGTCGGTTGTGTTTGTCTTCGGCTCGGGTCATGATCCGAGGGTCCTGGGATTGAGCCCCATGTTGGGCTCCCTGCTTAGCAGGGAGTCTGCTTCTCCCTCTCCCCCTGCCCCTCCCCCCTGCTCATGCTCTCTCTCTCACACTCCCTCTCTCTCAAAATAAATAAATAAAATCTTAAAAAAAAATAAGACAGTTATTTGTCCAAAAATTTTTTTACATTTAATTATGGTAAAATACATATAACATAAAATTTACATTTCTAACATCTTTTAAGTATTCAGTTCAGTGGTATTAAGTATATTCATTCTTATGCAACCATTTCCACCATCCATTTTCAGAACTGTTTCATCTTACAGAACTGAAACCCTGTCCCCATTAAACAGTAACTTCCCATTCCCCCTCCCCCCAAATATCTGTCCCCAGTTAATTTTTTCTGTTGAATTTTGTTTGGAAGAAAATTTTTTAATTTAGTCTTCCACTTTTTTCCCTCTTCATCTACAATTTCAGGTATTCAAAACTCTCAATACTTCATGATTTTTGTCTTGTATATCATTATTACAAAGTTGTTCTACACTCTAAGATTATGAATATATTTGCCTACTTTTTTAAAATTGTGTTTTAATTCCAGGGTAGTTAGCGTAGTGTTATATTAGTTTCAGGTATACAATCTAGTGCTCCAACAATTCCATATATTACTCAGTGCTCATCAAGATAAATGTATTCTTTTTTTTTTTTTTTAAAGATTTTATTTATTCATTTGACAGAGATAGATACAGCGAGAGAGGGAACACAAGCAGGGGGAGTGGGAGAGGGGGAAGCAGGCTTCCCATTGAGCAGGAAGCCCGATGAGGGGCTCGATCCCAGGACCCTGGGATCATGACCTGAGCCGAAGGCAGACACTTAATGACTGAGCCACCCAGGCGCCCCAAGATAAATGTATTCTTAATCTCCTTCACCTATTTTACCCATCCCCCCACCCCCCTCTCCCCTTGTTCTCTATAGTTAAGAGTCTGGGGTTTTGTTGTTGTGTTTTGTTTGTTTTTGGTTTGTCTCCCCCTTGCCCCTTGGTTCATTTGTTTTGTTCCTTAAATTCCACACATGAGTGAAATCATATGCTATTTGTATTCTTTGGCTTATTTAACATAACATTATACTCTCTAGATCCATCCATGTTGTTGTACATGGCAGGATTTCATTTTTTTTATGGCTAAATATTTCATTGTATAGGGGCACCTGAGTGGCTTCAGTCCATTGAGCAGTTGAGCATCTGACTCTTGGTTTCAGCTCGGGCCATCATCTCAGGGTCCTGGGATTGAGCCCTGTCTCGGGCTGTTTTCAGTGGGCAGTGTTTTTGAGATTCTCTTCCTGTCCCTCTGCCCCCTCCCACCCCCCCCCCCCACTCCCATGCACGCATGTGTGCGCTCTCTCTCTCTCTCTCAAATAAATAAATAAATCCTTAACAAAAATAATATTCCCATATATATGTATACACACACACACACACACACACACATCACATCTTTATCCATTCACCAATCAGTGGACACTTGGGTTGCTTCCATAATTTGGCTTTTGTAAATAATGCTGCAGTAAACATCAGGGTGCATATATCCCTTCGGATTGGTGTTTTCGTCTTCTTTGGGCAAATATCCAGTAGTGGCATTACTGGATCATATGATAATCCTGTTTTTAGTTTTTTGAGGAACCTCCATACTGTCTTCCACAGTAGCTACACCAGCTTGCATTCCCACCAAGAGTGCACAAGGGTTCCTTTTTCTCCACATCCTCCCCAACATTTATTGTTTCTTGAGCTTTTGATTTTAGCCATTCTGACAAGTGTGAGGTGATATCTCATTGTAGTTTTAATTTGCATTTCCCTGGTGATGAGTGATGTTGAGCATCTTTTCATGTGTCTGTTGGCCATCTGTATGCCTTCTTTGGGGAAATATCTATAATGTCTTCTGTCCATTTTTCAGCTGGATTATTTGTTTTGTGTGTGTGTATGTGTATAGGTTGTAAGTTCTTTATATATTTTGGCTACTAGCCCTTTATCAGATATGTCATTTTCAAATATTTGTTCCCATTCAGTATGTTGTCTTTTTGTTTCGTTGATTGTTTCCTTTGCTGTGCTGGAGGTTTTTGTTTTGATGTAGTCCCAAGAGTTTATATTTACTTTTGATTCCCTTGCTTCAGGAGACATATCTAGAAAGACGTTACAGCTGATGTCAGAGAAATTGCTGCCTCTGTTCAGGTCTCACATTTAGGTCCTTAATCCATTTTGAGTTTATGATTGTATGTGGTGTAAGATAGTGGTCCAGTGTCATTCTTTTACATGTAGCTGTCCAGTTTTCCCACCACCATTTGTTAAGGATACTGTCTTCTTTCCCAAAGCATATTCTTGCCTCCTTTGTCAAAGATTAATTGACCATACAATTGTGGGTATATTTCTGGGCTTTCTATTCTGTTCCATTGATCTATGTGCCTATTTTTGTACTCGTACCATACTGTTTTGATTACTACAGTTTTGTAATATACTTGAAATCTGGAATTTTGATACCTCCAGCTTTGTTCTTTCTTTTTTCAAGATTGCTTTGACTATTTGGGCGTCTTTTGTAGTTTCATACAAATTTTAGGGTTATTTGTTCTAGTTCTATGAAAAATGCTGTTGGTAATTTGATAAGGATTGCATTTAATCTGCTTTGATCCATCTTTGGTTGGATCAAGATTGGATCCAATCTTTGATCCAAAGATTGCTTTGAGTAGTATGGCTATTTTAACAATATTTGTTCTTCCATTCCATAAGCATGGAATGTCTTTCCATTTATTATATTCTCTTAAACATATGTTCTCTTACATTTTAAATTTCTGAATGGAAGAAAACATTTTACATAAAATGAGAAGAAAGAAATATGAAACTCTGTTTGTTCCCACATGGTTAGTCAGTTTGTTCATTTGCTCTTTTAGTTCCTCAAATATTTATTAACAACCATGTGTATGTCAAACAATGTTCTAGATTTTGTTGGGAATAGAGCAACAACTAGGGCTAAATCATACTCTTTAATGGGAGGAAACAGATAATACTACTCACAAATGTATGAAGAAATAGGAAAAATATCAGGTAGTGATAATGCTATACAAAGCCTCAAAATAAAATGTTCTGACAGGGAAGGACTGGGTAGTCTACAAAGGTAGGTCACTCTCAAGAGATGACCTTAACGAAGAGATTTGAGTAGCAACAGGGAACAAGCTTTGTGAAAATTTAGGGGAACCTAAGCCCCAGGTCAGCAGTGTGCTTATTGGCACAGGTGAGAATGGTCTGGTATGAGATGAGGAAGAGAGGTAAGGGCCAACGTAAAGGTTATGGATGGGAAGCCATTAGCAGGCTTGAAATAGGGGAGTGATCAGCCCTGATGTATTGGTTTAAGCCTCTGTGAATCGCTTAAACATAAATAGTAGGGAGTTGGAGCAAGTGGGGACCAGGGAAAGCATCTAGAAGTTATTTGAATATTTACTTTTACAGCACTGTTTATTGAACAATTCTACAGTAATTTAAAATTTCACTTTTACATTAAATCACATATCTATGTTAAATCATTTTACATTAAATCATATATATATCAAAATCAGGTATGTTCGTGGACTTTCTGTCCACTTTCACTGATAAATGTTTACCTATACTGAGTCAGAGCCACACTGTTGTAGTGATTGTAGCTTTTGGAAGTCCATTTAAGTATCTGTTAATGTTTGTCCCACTCCTCCAGTACCACCAAAAATTTTCTGGTCGACTCCCATGCATTCTATGTTTTAGAGTCATTTTACCTATTCCAAAATGAAATGCACTTACATTTCATTGGAATCACATTAAATTAATGCATTCATTTAGGGAGTACTGACATCTTGATAATGCTGTATTTTATTATCCAAAAACTGTGTGTGTGTGTGTGTATGTGTGTGTTTGTGGTTTTTTAATTCTCTAACCCTTTAGGAAAGTTACACAATTATAGTGATTCTAAATTGCACATTTTTTTACTTTTTGGAGCGATTGTAAAAGGAATAATTTTGTATTGCATTTTCTGTTGTAAAATTTTGTCTCTAATTGTAACTATCTACTTAATGATCTTCTATTGTTACAGTGACTCCTCGGGTGATTCTGTTAAGACTAGACAAATAATATAAGCAACAATAATAAAAATAACATTTATTGAGTGCTTACTACATGCCAGGCACTCTTCTAAGTGTTTTACTCACGGTAGTGCTGTGTGCCCCTTTTACATATGAGGAAACACTCATGTGTCTGATATTACCAGCCAGTAAATAGTGATGCTGAGGTTTGAATCCACGTAGTCTGGTTCTAGATCCCATACTTTAAACCACTATACAGTATGTCCTGTAGTGGTGAGGATTTTTTATCTCCTTTGTATTATTTATACTTCTCATTTTAATTTCTTTGTCTGGTTATGTAATTCCAAATATGTTTCTGACATTTATGTGATTCTTTTTCTCCCTCTTCCCCAGGTCTTGGGCTTGCCTTCAACTTGAATCCTGCTCTGACCATGATTGGCAAGTATTTCTACAAGAGGCGACCTTTGGCAAATGGACTGGCCATGGCAGGCAGCCCTGTGTTCCTCTCCACTCTGGCCCCCCTCAATCAGGCTTTCTTTGGTATCTTTGGCTGGAGAGGGAGCTTCCTAATTCTTGGGGGCCTCCTACTAAACTGCTGTGTAGCTGGAGCCCTGATGCGTCCAATAGGGCCCCCACCAACAAGTGCAGGGAAAGATAGGTCTAAAGAATCCCTTCAGGAACCTGGAAAATCTGACGAGAAAAAGGGAGCAGGTGATGCAAATATAGATCTTATTGGAGGAAACCGCAAAGAAGAGAAACGATCAGTCTTCCAAACAATTAATAAATTCCTGGACTTATCTCTGTTCACACACAGAGGCTTTTTGCTATACCTGTCCGGAAACGTGCTCATGTTTTTTGGACTGTTTACCCCTTTGGTCTTTCTTAGTAATTATGGCAAGAGTCAACATTACTCTAGTGAGAAGTCTGCCTTCCTTCTTTCCATTCTGGCTTTTGTTGACATGGTAGCCAGACCTTCTATGGGACTTGTAGCCAACACCAAGTGGATAAGACCTCGAGTTCAGTATTTTTTTGCGGCTTCTATTGTTGCAAATGGAGTGTGTCATCTGCTAGCACCTTTATCCTCCAGCTACATTGGGTTCTGTGTCTATGCGGGATTCTTTGGATTTGCATTTGGGTGGCTCAGCTCAGTGTTGTTTGAAACACTGATGGACCTCGTTGGACCCCAGAGGTTCTCCAGCGCCGTGGGATTGGTGACCATTGTGGAATGCTGTCCAGTCCTCCTGGGGCCACCACTTTTAGGTATAGTATGCCTTACTACCTCTTTGGTTCTGTTAACATGAAACAAGCACTGAAGATGGAAAAGGTGATAGAAAGCCAAGATTAGTAAGCTGCTTGGTGGCAGAAAGTATTTCTCATTTATGTAGCCTCAGTGTTGGCACAATGCTTGGCACAGCATAATTGCTCAGATTCTTACAGAATTGATTACACTGAACCAACAACCTGAAAGGTGAATCAAATATTTTTACGAATGGCATTCTTTTTTGAATTATGTTTTCTCTTCAAAAAACTTACTTGCTTCTGTGTGTTACATGCAAACAATGAATCATGGAGCACTACATCAAAAACTATGGTGATTAACATAACATAATAATAAAAAAATTAAACAACAACAAAAAACCTTATGTGCTTGTTGTAGAAAAACATGTAAAATCCAACTCCACCGCTGATAATAGCTACCATGTAAACTCATGGTTGACCAGGGACTGTTCTAACCATTTTCTATATCCTCTTATATCTCACAAGCCTATGAAATAGGACTGTCAGAGTTCCTACTTCATAAGAAATAGAAACTTTGAAAGGTTAAATAATTTGCCTTATGTCACATGGCTAGTAAGTGAGTATATAATTTGGGAACTGTTTCCTAAGGTTATTAAATACTTCATTTTTTAAATTAATACCTCATTAGATAACATTAGTGAAAATATAATTTGGCCCTCCTTTTATTTTATTTTTTAATTTTATTTATTTATTTGAGAGGATGAGAGGGGGTTGGGTCAGAGGGAGAAGCAGACTCCCTGCCGAGCAGGGAGCCCGATGCGGGACTCGATCCCGGGACTCCAGGATCATGACCTGAGCCAAAGGCAGTCGCTTAACCAACTGAGCCACCCAGGCGCCCTGGCCCTCCTTTTAGATGTATACTTCTTAGAAGTATGATTTGGCTAGTGAGTGAGGATACATTAAAGAAGTCCTACAGCTATCTTTTGATACTGTTCTCTTCCTCCCCATATCCAGTGATTGCCAAGTCTTGTCAGTCTTCATCTCCTAAATCTCTTTCTAATTGGCCCACTTTTCCCATCACACCACCACCCTGTCCACAGCTCCTGTCTCCCATCTGGGCTACTCCATGAGCCTCCTGGCTGGTCTACCCATTTCCATTCTATCAGGACTTCAATCTGTTTTCTACTCTGCAGGCAAAATTTATCTGTGCAAATGCAAACCTGATAGCCCAGCTGATTAGATCTTTCCAGTTGCTTCCCATTGTTCTCAGGGTGGAGATCAGATTCCCTAATGTGGCCTACGAGGCGCCCCCCAGCCTGGCCACCAATGTCTCCAGCCTCATTTCCTGTCACTCACCTTTTGTTCTCTCTGCTCCAGCAGCCCCGCCCTTCCTCCTTCCCTCTCACACCCCGCTTCCTCCCACCTGCCTTTGCACTTGCTGTTCCCTGGCCACAGCTTTCTCCCATGCCCTCGTCCTGGATAACTCCGATCCCCCTCTAGGTCTCTGCTTCATTTATACTTTGAGAGAAGCCTTCCTGACCCTGCTTGCTGCTGCCAACCCCCTATTTTCTGCTTGCAAACCCTCCTTGTCAGGTTTGTGTAATTATTTGATTAACATTTCTCTTGTCCACTGAACTGTGGAGGTTTTCTCCTCTGCTCTCCCTTATCCTCACACCCAGTAGCCCAGTGCCTGGTGTATGCGTAGGCTCAGTAAGTTTGGCTGGATGGCCAGTCCCCTGAGTTAGAAAAGCACATGGAATCCTGTTTGAATTGGTTATATTGAGTCCTTCTCTGAGGTATAGAGTAGGGTTTTCCAGAGTTTATTCCTTAACATGCCAATTTGATGAGATGCTAATAAATTCTTCTATCGTGAGGATTTCATGGCCAAAAAAATTTGGGGAACACCAAGTTTGATAGATTGCTCTACTAGAGGACCTTGCAAAACCTTTAATATGCTAATGCACGTGGTGACTCTTCACTGGAGGAGCCTAGGATGTGCCATTTCTTAAGTCTGACTTTGTACACAGTGAGCGTGATGACAGATGCTGCCTGTCATGAGAGCTAAGCACTTAGGATGGTGGAAAGGTGTTGCTATTAGTTAATTCTGTAACTTGTCCCCAGGGCTGCTTTTTGGGAATGCTGATGTCAGCAAAAGAGCGTTGGCTTGGCGGGAGACTGCAATTAGCTCTGGGGCCTGGGGCAAGACTCCTACATCTCTTTGAGCAACAAATTCTTCCATTGTGAAGGGAGAGACTTGATTCTAGGTGATCTCTGGGTCTTTCCCCATTCCAACTGGCCAAGATTTCATTACTTTCAAGGTGCAAAAGTAACAGGATAGATAAGGCCATCTAAAACCAGATGTGACATCATAAAAGATGAGATCATTGTTAGCAGTTCCTTTTTAGATGAATCTGTCACTTGTGGGCTCTTTGAGGATTGGTTGACATCTTCTTTCTGAGTGGATCCTTCAGCTCTCTTTGGGGAAGGTATACTTGTTTACTTTTGTCCACATAACTTTGTTTTGGATATCTTTAGGTCATCTGAATGACATCTATGGAGACTACAAATACACCTACTGGGCATGTGGTGTGATCCTCATTATAGCAGGCATCTATCTCTTCATTGGCATGGGCATCAATTATCAACTTGTGGCAAAAGAGCAGAAAGCAGAGAATCAGCAGAAAAAGGAAAGTAAAGAGGAGGAGACCAGTGTGGATGCTGCTGAGAAGCCAAGAGAATATGCAGCAGAATCTGCAGAGCAGAAAGACACAGAAGGAAGTCCCAAAGAGGAGGAGAGTCCAGTCTAAATCTTTGGGGCCCAAGGGTCAGTGAAGCATCTGTGACCCAAGATCCCTGAAAATATCTACTGGCCTGTAATCCAGCAGTGGTGCTCAATGCCAACAGTGGACGTGTGTGGGAATTGTACCAGGTGTTCAGTGATGGAAGTTTTGTTTTCACTCCTTACCAGCAGCCTGAATTAAAAATGCCATATCTTTGGGGAGGGAGTGGTTGGCAAAGAATGAGACAAGGACGTAGTGTGGGTTTTTTTTGTTTGTTTGTTTGTTTGTTTAAATCCTAGCTTTTAACAGTGTCCAGAAGATTTTAATATGTGCCTTAAGTTTTAGTCTTTAGAACTCTTTAGGGAGCCTTAACTTTTTAAACCATTCTGCTGAATTCATCTATTTTAAGTGTTATGTTATAAGGAAAAATAACAACTAACTTGTTTCTGACAAATCTAAAATTTAAAATTAATCTTGCTTCATTGTTATTTGTAATATACTGTCAGACATCACCACTGGAAGATTTATGAATAGAAATATTGGTTGGAAGTTGGGATTTTATAAAATCCTGACTAAAATATTTTCCTTGCATCAGTAGTTGCCTGGCATAGTGCCTGATAGCTATATATTTAGGAAATTTAAGGCATAAAACTTTGGAAACATCTTGGCCGTTCTAGACACATTGTACTCATCAGCACCCCTCTGGAATCTTTTCTTGGGATGCTAATATATTATTAGTGCTTGAGAATTATTATTATTTCATTATAAAATTATTAAATTACTATTTTCCCTTTTCAAAGACAAATTTTGAGTGGTTATAGACCATTGCCCCCTTTGAAATTACTTAGTATTTTTCACTATAAAAGTTAATTTAAAAATATGCAAAAGTATGTATTTGTACCTCCTTAGTAAATACAACACATCTAATTAAATGTAGACAGATATTTCAAACATCAGCTGAATTCAGCTTCAGTTTTACCAAAACCTCAGTTAAACTGTGAGACTTAGAATTTTTTTGTTGTTGATTTTCCTGGAATTTTCCCCCATTGATTCATAGTGGTTCCATTTATATCTGTGTCTAGCTTAGAGCTGTGTGTGAGATACTCAATCTTTGTGTGCTTGTTTGTTCTTTTTTTTTTTTTAAATGTTTGCTAATTAAAGAAAGCCAGAGTAATTTGGCCCCAGGCAAACCGGTAAGAATAAGATTGGGAGGGAAGGTGCTCCCTTTTCTTTTTCTGAGGAGGCCTGAAAAAAATTATGTTTTGCTTATAATTATTGGACACATTCTTACTACTCCACATAAAACTAAAGTATTGTGACCCTTTTTACTTACTTGAAAAGTAGAGAAATGAGTTTAGTATGAGGATAGGGAGGATGGACCAGAATGAAATCTGTAAATATTTTTTAACCTAATATCTTCTAAAATGCACAAGAAGATAATGATAGACACTCAATAAATTATATTCAGTGCATTTAAAAATATCATTGTAATTGACACAGTGAAGTATAGGTACAAAACCTTTTGTGTAAGAGGCTGGCTTTTCCAAATAAACTTTTTTTTTTCCTTTTTTTAAAGAAATACTTCTCCCTCCAAATGTTTTATTTTCTTGAGAAAATATTACTGTGTCTTCATTTTCATTATCAAGATCCAATTTGGCCCTTGCTAATATTAAACCATTCAGCTTATGTGCTTTGGGAGCTGTGTATATGGCTTATTTTTACTTTTCTTCTTTCCTCCTTTTCTTAAAGGCAAGGAAGAGGGGAATTCTGAAATTACCTCTCTGAAAGCATCCAAAGCAGTTAACCGTAAGAACACAATGAAAACTCCCTTTCAATGCCTGAGTGTCATGGCAGATGGAGAAGGAATTTGAGGGGAGAAGCCTGCTGTGATTGTTGGCAGGCTTGGCTCCAGTTGGGACTCTGCTGTTTTCCATCGACCCAAGTCCATAATCTCTTTGTGCCTCTTTTCCCCTTCCATAAAAATGAGGATCACTGTCCATGAGGTAATAATATAAGTAAAGGAAATGGGAAGGGGTAGGGTGGAGGAGTAGTAGTACAGGATTATTTTCTCCTGTAAGGGAGGAAAACCTTACCCTTCTTTCTAGGTTCTTTGGATGGCCTAATAATTAAATTGACATAAGACAGATAAGATAGGAGAAAAATTTAATTTCATACATAACGGGAACTTCACATAGACACGAGAGGGTCAAAAACAATCAGGCAACTAAGACAAGCCATCCAAAGCTAAGGAGGGGTGGGTAGGGTCTGCGGCTTCAAAAGGAATAAAGACAATTTACAAGAAGATGGGAAGAGCAAATGTTTGTTTGGTAAACCATGCCATGCAGAGAAGTCTTGCGTTTAAAAAACAAAAAGGTAATACTCTTCCTGGTACAGGCTCCCTATCTGAATTCTTTTAGGCAATTACAGGTGAGGTAAAAAGCTCTTAAGTCTGTTAGGCATTGGCTGCCTTCAGCTCAAATACTCCACATGCCAAAGTGGCACATTTTGGGGCAGCCTTGTCCTGAACCCCATCACTCCATCCCAGTTGTTGAGCTACATCCATACCTAAGACCCTGCTTAGTCTTTGTTCAGTAGTTGAATCTTGTTAGTGAAGGGTTAAAAACTGTTTCAAAGCTGGAATTAAACCTTTTATTGCCCAGTGCAACCCTGACTTTTTCCCCCTGAAGAGGCAGCATTAAAGTATTTATTCAAGATTAGTTTTGGTAACAGCCAACACTAAAACCCAGTATAGGCCTACTCTGTGCCATCTGTTCCTTGTTAGCAGTCAGTGAATCCTCCTTGTGTTGTAGGTTGTGTTCAACACCGGGAAGCAGCTGGGCTTTCTGATCCAGTCTATTGTCCTTTACTCCATGTGAGGACTGTTTTCTTCCAATTCACACAGTTTCAGGTGGCTGCTTTGGAAACAAACGTACGCAAAGAGTACCTGTCTATCTTTGTTTTCTGTCCCACACCTTCCATAAGTCACAGAGAGAACATATACAGCTCTTAGGTAGTTGTAGGGCCTAAAAAGGCTTGTTTAAGAGCATACTCTGAAAAGGCTCCCCAGCCAAAGCTGGAAAATTAAGAAACTGGTAGGTTGGTCAATGGCAGAAGATCATGGTGACAAGACTGTATTAATTAGTGTGCTATACTCCAGTCTGTTGAGAATTTAAATTATCTTATAAATGAATAATTTCTACAAAATATTCAGGAAAGCATGATGGTAAAAACAAATTATGGAAAATTCAGAGGTGTTTTATCCCTGATTTAATCACGCAGATGACTAATCCTCTGAATTCTTGGGTTGTCTGAATTTAGTTTGTTTGTATCATAGACACATATGTCAATATTAATCCTGTATTTTAAAAAGGAAAAAAATTTGTTAAAAGCCATTTAATATTTTTGTACCAGTGTTTGACTGTATTGAATTTCAGAATGATAAATTGGGTATCGGTTTGTATGAAAAACCTAAATGTCTGGGTTTTGCCTAGCAAATGGTTCACAGTATAACAAACCTAATAATCAGGTGTGCACCCCCCTCTCCGTGTTTTGCTTGGAAAGATGAGGGAAGGTGAACATTAAATTTCCACCTTTGCAACATGGCTTGTCTTAATAATCAGGTCAGGCAGGCATTTGCCTAGAAGACATGAAGAGGTTAATGACAGACTTGTGTCAATATGAAAATTCTTTCAGTTCTTGACAGGAAGCGACAGCCCAAGCTTGCTTGGCTTGCCCAGATTTGAGCAATTAAGCCGTTACTTCAGAGGGTAGAAGCATTTAGAGGGTTTCAAGTACATCACTTCTGAAATGTGTTCTAGCTTTAGCATTTTAGATTCAGTCTCCCCTTTTTCCCCTCATCCAGTCTGGGCCTTAGTGACAAAATCATTCAAATGACAGTGACTGGGAAAAGTACCCATGTGTATGTGTAGATTATCTTCTTGAGCTGAACACTGATTTACTTCGTTTTGCTAACTTTGACCCTGACTTGCCTAGAGGAGATTGGGATAGCGAGCCATGGGATTGCAGCCTGCTGCTCGCTTAACCGCATAAGCTCCCTGAGTTCACATTGAGGCTGTGTGCCCTCAACCAGGTTACCGAGCCTCCGTAAGCATCAGGGTTTTTTCTTCTGTAAGGTGTTAATAATAATTAGTACCACCTCCCACCCCCCCAGGGTTATCAGGAAGGTTAGTTGATATGTGACAGCTTATGTTAAATAAGGGCTTCACGAATGTAAATACCTGACTATAAAAAAAAAATCAAAGAAAATTAATACTTGGGGGAAAAAATTGCTCTTCTAATTCCCAAGATGGATCATTACTTAGGATAGTTTGGAAGTGACTTTTAAAGATAATATTAGCTAAATTTGGGACGCCTGGCTGGTTCAGTCAAAAGAGCATGCAACTCTCCATCTCAGGGTTTGAATTCAAGCCCATGTTGGGTGTAGAGCCTACTTGAAAAATAAAAAATAAAGAATATTAGCTAAATTATCACATTCTCCTTTTGATCAGATCCTCCTTTTATTCTTATAAATGTAATGGTCTTTCTTTGCTAGATGAATGGATGAAATGAACAATTGATGAGGTTGGGGCATACATGCCCAGCTCTTGCTCACAAGAGGGATATGAGTCCCAAAACCCTTGCTCCTGATGCTCTAATAGTACACCATCTTCAAGGAAGAGAGGCCCAACTAGCGGCAGATAAACGTTTCCTCTCAATATTTGTGATGATTCTAAAAGAAGAAATATAACTAGTAACCAGTCATGATTAAAGTTGTCTAAGCAGTGTTCTTAAATGCAAATTGAAGACTTGATGAGGTCTTAATTTTTTTGTACTACGTTGATAATGTAGTGATAACATGATTTAAATTATAAATTACCACTTAGTGGCCGAATAAATTGGTATTTAACATATTGACAGCAATTTCATGATGTGTGTCAAGTGCCATGAGTTCACATCTTTCTAAGAATTCCAGAGTTGGAATTTATATAAGAAAAATGTCTGTCTTTAATCTTAAAGTGTATATCAGTAATTATTTAAATGAATGGTTATTATATCCTTGTGGTATAAACATGGCACGATGTTAAACAGAAAGGCAAAACACAAGGGGCACCTAGGTGGCTCAGTTGGTTAAGCGTCTGCCTTTGGCTCAGGTCACGATCCCAGGGTCTTGGGATTGAGCCCTGCGTCTGGGCTCCCTGCTCCGCGGGGAGCCTGCTTCCTCTGCCTGCCACTCCCCCTGCTTGTGCTCGCGCTGTCTCTGACAAATAAATAAAATCTTTATATAAAAAAAAAGAACACAAACTACTATGATGCAAGTTCATATGTATATATACACATACACATGCATATATACACATGCATGGCAGGGGAAAGAACATATACAAATAGGCTTATTTTGTGACTGGTAAAATTAGAGGTGACTTTTTCTATATTTTTCCACATTCTAAATTTTCTTTTTTTTTTTTTTTAAAGATTTTATTTTTTATTTATTTATTTGAAAGAGAGAGAATGAGAGATAGCACGAGAGGGAAGAGGGTCAGAGGGAGAAGCAGACCCCCTGCCGAGCAGGAAGCCCGATGTGGGACTCGATCCCGGGACTCCAGGACCATGACCCGAGCCGAAGGCAGTCGCTGAACCAACTGAGCCACCCAGGCGCCCCACATTCTAAATTTTCTTAATGTGATGGTAAATTTACACTAAAAATATTTAATGTAGCACGTAATACTGGTTTACACAGGGAAAAAATAGTACAGTTGATCTAGAAGGGTTCTGGCAAGAAACATGACTCCTAAGAAAATGAAGCTGATGATTATTACAAGCAGGTTATTTTTTCCTCCTTCTTCGAGAGTTGCATGTGGTGAAAGGGTGGAGGATGAGACATGGAACTCAAGAGCACAGTGGTCTCAAGGCATGATTTTGCTGGTCTGGACCAGAACTGTGGATGGAGCATGACTCCA